AAAAACACATCTTATGGATGAGATAGAATTAATAATGTAGAATGGGATTGTACTATATCCCTTTGGCTAGACGATATAATTAAAGAAGTAAAGAGAAAATATAAGACATTATCGCCTCAAAAGAGTTCCTTTTGGAGTAATATCATTACCCTTGTTATTATCAACAACACTCAACTATCATTTGAGAAATTATGGTCAGTAAAACGGTCTCAGAAATAAGAAAAAATACGTGGATAACGTTACCTTATCTGGTGATGAAATAGATGAAGCCTTTCAAAAGTACAAACAGTTTCGATAAATATGAGAGAATTTCTTTCTAACGATGAAGAATTTAATGAAGGAATGAGTACCTGAGTACGATAGAGCTAAAATAAATAAAGAAAGTTTTCTCGATATTAAATGGATTCATAACTAAAATATTACTTCCTAATACCTTGGAAAGGAAGGAATTAACTAAAGAAGCGATTTTATAATTCGTCGCTTTTGTAATTTATTGGGCTGCTTATTCTCTTCGATGATACAACTCAAATTATTTCTTCAACATTTCTGGAAAGAAAAAAAATCTTGGGATCAAGCTTTAAATGAAGATGAACAGCAATGGAAAGGAATGGCTAACGTATGTTATGAATTTGCCAAGATTTGTAATAACATCCTTAGAGCAATTGGAAATCCATGTATTTATGAACTCCTCGAATTCGGCATATTCGGCAGCTGTTATGTACTTAATCGAGGGAACCAAGGCAATTCGAAATCATTTTTAATTCATGCTAAATCCGAATTATTCCAATTAAAGGTATATACTTGGACCATCAATACTTGGACTTGAATTATTATCTATACTGATCGGAGTAACAGCAGCACAGTTCGTACTGAAACAATTAGAATTGGACAATGTACAGGTCACCGTGTGCTTAAATTCTAAATATGCGCTATATTGGATCAAAAATTATTCAAAATTACTTCCATGATTCGTACAAAATCGAGTTAAAGAAATACGGAAAGCAAATTTTATGTTTCGTTATATACCAAGTGAACAGAATCCAGTGAATGTAGCTACCAAAAGATTCTTGCCAATTAAACTCAGAGAATGCACGCCACGGTGGAAAAGGCCTCAATGGTTGGAAGAGAAAAATTTTGACTAGCCAGAATGGAAATTTAAAACACGGTAGATACGATGAATTGGGAGAAGCGATTATTGCAAAGGTAACTCGAATATTGGAAATGAAAAAAGTTCCCAATTCATTAATGGAGCACGCTTTAGTACATGGACAGTAGGATCATTGAAAGCACTATGTGGACTCTCAGGTTTATCGAATTAATCCTTAAGAGAGAACTGCCATGGTTGCGATCGTTGTCTTTTATTTAACAAATTGATCAATGTTACATTTAGATTAACAAATTCCATCACAACTTTTCAAGATTTCATTGCATGGTTCCCATGTAACTGCCAAAATTTCAGACGACAATTTTAGCAAAATTCAAACTTCTTGTAAGATTCTAGTAAAAACAATCTAACATCCGGGAAAGCCAAAAGTCAGCGATTAAATTAAACATAAATAAAGTAGAAGGCTAAGACCTAATAGAAAAAGGTGAACTTCGCGCTTTAAATCTCGAACTAAAGCATAAGAATAAAGAATAATTAGGATTTCACAAGAAAAAATAGCTTTTGATCCAATATGCCATGGTAAGAATTATTTTCAAAGTGAACAAACAGGCTCTTTCTGCAGATATCAGCTAACATTATTAATGAATACAAAGACGATAAAAAAGCATAAAGAATTAATTTCGACACATAATACCTTAATCTCGTTTACAGTTACTGTCGCAGTAATGAAAAATATCATCACAAGGTTATGAGAACATCGAGCGAGGTATGAAACATTAACCATACATGAAACAATCAAATATTTACAAATAGTACATAAAATTTACACAAAAATTTTCAATATAGTAAATCAGTAAGAAGTTCCAGCTATCTAATAACCGGTACTGCAAGAGCCTAAATACAAGCGCAATTATTAGTGCAGTTTATTGCTATCAGTTGGGAATCCAAAATGCAAGGCTGGAGCGATGAAGAATGGATTACTCATAAATGCTTATTTTTACAAATAAACAGTATCTTTCCATTTTCGAAGAAAATACGGTAAACTAAGTCCTTATCATTCTAAACACTTTTTTTCTCCTGGACAATTTCTAATTTCTAACAATCCATTAAATAAAAAGTAGTTCATTAATCAATTTTTATTGGATTTTTTTGAAAAATCGCTATCATTTTTTATAACGATTTTCCTTTCCAGAGAACTGAAAAAAGCTTTTCGATCTTGGTAATAACATGATTTAGTCCTAAATACTTTCGTCTTTTTTTTTTTTTTAATTAATAATCCCTGTCAACCTGATTTATCTCCTGATTTATGATGACAATCTCACATGTGTACAAATACACTGCCCCGAAAGTGACTAATCACATATTCTATTAAAGAATTGTAACCAATAGAAAATTACCAACAGAAGATTCGAATCACAGACTATCAAACTTGCTTTTTCCACTATCAGCTTTCCGTTTTGACCCAGTCATCATCGTCGCTAAAACTTCAGCCTCAAAATCAGCGAATTCAACTGATGTCATCGGTCGTTCTGTAATATAATACTTCATGATAGTTTCAGTTCTTTATTATTTGAGGACAAAAATTGTTCTTAATCGAAATTTCAAGCAAAAGAAACAAATGAATCTTACCTATCGGTTTACATGGCTGTACTTTGAAAGTCGAATCTCTCAACGCCGCAGGTGGCTTTAGTAAACATGTCACAGTAATTGGAACTTCTGGCTTCCCAATTTCTTTTTCAATTCCATCCTAAAAATGAAGGCAAATGTGCACAATTTGTGAAATCAAACAAAATTTCGAATATTTTTATACCACTAGTAATTTTATACTATTAATTTTCATTAGAACGAAAGGATTAGACAAACGTGTTCATTCACAGCACTTACTATATCCAGTAATTCGTCAAACTCCAAAATTGCCAAGCCTTTGTTACCGCTTGAAACAATTACATCGGAAATATGTCCATACTGAAATACCATTCAATGTACTTAGAGGTCAAGCAATATCAAGTAGACCTCTCAGAATATGGAAAAAAACAATTTTTCTCTTTTTTCCAATGGCTGAAAAATGCCAAGTCAAGTAATTTTCAAAAATAATTCACCTTAGAAAATAATTCCCTGAAATCATCTTCATCATAATTACATCGATCACTTTTCCGTATCCATCTTAATTTGTAACGAGCTACTAACCCTGAAAATACAAACAGATTTCCAGAAAATCCAATTTCGTTTGATAAAATATAATTTGAATAACATGAACAAAGTGTTAAAAACCCACGGTTATCATTCTTTTGCTCTTCCACAGCCGCACTCTTACGAATTTCTTGTTCAATATTTTCCCTTTCACGCTGTAGTAGTTTGGAACCTTCCTTTCGTAGACGCTGAATCTAAAATTTTTTTCTTTTTCGAAATAAGAATCGTGGCTCACGATATGACAACTTTTCTGTAAATTACAGAAACCCAGAATGGAACCGTTTCAAGTAAATTACTCGTGGAATTAGCAGAAATGACAAAAGTCTCAATATACCTCTTTTTCAAGTTCTCTTTTCGCTTTTTCTTCATTTTGCTGAGAGCTTAATACATTTGCCTCTCGCCTTTCAAGTTCCTCACGTAATTTCCGTCGTTTATCGCTTTCATTCTTTTGTCTTCTCTGTACATAAACGGTGTGTGCTGTTCTAGTAGCTAATACATGGTTGTAAGCAGCTCGAGCCCCTGCATCTGATAGCAACTCAAAGGCCTTTGATATCTTCAAGAACATTTCTTGCGCTAAAATCAGTGGAATAAGTTTTTAGAGAGAAAACTGATAAAAAAAACCCTGAAAACAAAATTAACAATAGGCTTTATGAACGAACGGAATACTTAATACCTGCTTGCTTACGATCAGGGTTTTTGTCGGGATGCCACTTCAGGGCAGCTCTTCTGAATGCTTTTACAATTTGCGTATCGGTGCACTCCGGTTTCAAATCCAACAGTTCATATGGATCGAAATCTATCAAGGAGTTGCCAGCCATATTTCAAATCTAATAAAACAATAATTAAAACTTCGAGTGATGATCATAATTTCATTAAAATTCCATAAACTGTCAATGATTTACTTAGCAAGAAACATAAAAAATCATCACAGGGCATGATTTATTCTAGAGAATTTTGCTTTGATTTCAATTGTAAATGAACTTCGTAATGAGACATAACAGTTTTACTTGGGATAAACTTTGCAGACTAACTTATACTATTTTTAACAAGTAAAAATAATAGATAAATAACAAAGTCAACCGGAATTTCCAAAAACACTGAAATTTGGAAGAAATAAGTGCTAGGATGTTGTATGCACAACTGAATGAACTACGAACAATATTATACGTGGTGAACGAGGATGAACAATGTTTATACACTACCACAATAACTTTGTCAAAAAACACTTTCACAAAACAACTTTCAAAATATTGGTGAGGCGTGTCAACAGAATGACCACAGTCAGGCTACACGCAAGATTAAACAACATAACAGTGTCAACCGTGAAGTCCTGAAGTCTACACTATCGTCTTAAAAATTTCCAAGACAAGTACCTTTGTAGTCATCATTGACTTTACCATGCAAACCCAAATTTCATTCGAGATTCTAAGTCTGTGTACAGAGGTACAAAACCAGTAACACCCAGAAAAAGCACATATTGTTAGCTTCAAAATTTAATTGAAATGCACTTCGATGATCTTCAGTTATTCGAAAATGAAATTACCAAATTTATTTGATATTTCTTGGAAACCACTGAAATGCGTATAACGCAAAGTCACAGAAAAAATTTCATATATATGTCAATTTAAAATACAAAACTTCTTCGTAAATAAATAACAAAGTCAGAAATCAAAAAGTAGAGAGAAAAAGTAAGGAAGAGGATTTATTCAAATTAAATACTAATAACTGCATCACAGAAGAATGAGGAGAGATAATTTCTGTACATTTATTGATGACAAATAGGAAGACTATTACTACTACTGGCGCTGGCAATCCAGTTCGGATAAATGTACGGAGGAGGCATGTGGTGTATTTGACGGTGTTGTGCTCAAGCTTGCACAACAAATCTCACAGCCATCAATCAATCGGAGAAGTTCATCAGGAGTTGGTCCCTAAAAAAGCAAAAATTTAAATCTGACAGAAATAACCACTCAGAAGATTAATTAAATTTTCGAATCATCTGGAGCTTGCCTTCTAAAAACCAAGTAAAGAAATAACACACAAACTGTTCGCCAAGCAACATCTTGAAGATAAATCCACTAATACGAGCTGAACAACCAGTGCAGCACCTCAGTTGTGGTAATCTGGTACCAATGCCGCCTAATGAATTATTGATTTGATATAATTATTAGGTTACAAACACAGTGTGTTGCACACTTAACTAGTAAAAGATTTACTTGACAGTCTAAACGAATTTGGTTTTTTTTAATAAAATGAAGGGCTGACCTGCCGTACAGTACCACTGGTCCGATTTGCAAATAGGAAAGCATTCGAGTTAGTAGATGCTGTAGTTGTTGAAGATACAGCGCCAGCTGTTTTATCAGCTGTACTTCCTTGATTACCTAAAGGAAGGTTTGAAAATGATAAATTGGCGTGATATTGATCCAGAGCTGTTGTTAAATCCCACATCTGAAATAAATATAAAAGTTTAGTAAAATAAATGCATCAAGAGATACTGCATTACTTCCACTGATAGCATTATAACTTCCGAGTTGATAGTTATTAACTCAAAATGATACCAAACTTGTCTCAACAATAACAGCAGAACTAATATCGTACTTGAATGGAACCATTGGAGGTTCCAGTGAACAAAAATCTCCTCGGTCTCGAATTTACGCGCGAACCTTCACATTCATGAACCAGAAAGGCAGTTATTGCCGAGTCACCAACAGTTCGAATGGTACAAAGCCTGCAAGCCATAAATCAATAATTTGTAGTATTTCATCATTTCCACAACTAACATCGGCGAAAAGATACAAATAATGAATATAATAACGGTAATAACGGAAAGACTGCTTCTTACAAGTGGATAAAAAAAAGAGAATAGTAATATCACTGACCTGTCACCGTTTGAAGCTAATCTTACAAAGACCTGATTAGTACCAGGTACCACACGCTGCACAAAAACTTGTTCACCATCTTGATCACCAAACGGCCCTGAAACACAAAAAAATTGTGCTACTTCAGTTGATGGAATTAAATTAGGCTAAAAAAGATATGAAAGATGTCATGTAAGTCAAATGCCAACATTTAAACAAATACAATCAAATTATTAGTTTTAAACAAAATTAAAAGACGAAATACCTGGGTCATTTCCGTCTGCATCAAGCATATCATCAGTGCTGTCAAGGGTAAGTACCTTGAAAGATGCCAAAGATGTACTACCTGGCTGCGTCGAAATCATACCACGAAAACGCGTTACACCCCACGAACGAACATGATTGTATTCGCTGCACACTAGAGAACCATAAGACTTTTTTATGTAAACAGTGAAAACTGGATAAATAGCTCATAATTTAACTTTATCTTAAATTCGAGTCAAAAAAAAAAAAATATTTCCGCGAGTGGGGAATCAAATGAAAACTAAGTCAATAAAGATATAATTACTATTTTACTTCATCCTCACCACTAATAAGATGATTGGTTGTAAGAGCAACTCGTGTAACTGGAGATGTGTGCACGGTATAAGTCTGGAACAGCTGTGGTCCATGACCGACTGTTTCCGGATGTTGCACGATCACTCGAACGCTACCACTTGAAGTTCCATAAGCAATTTCAATCCAATTCCCACGGAGATCTGAAAAATTTCGATAAGTCGTGCAGTTAAGAAAGCAGGACTCTGATTCTAAAATTTTGGTCAGTTAAAATATGCAAAAATATACTTGTTTTCGGCGTGAGATAAACGCTTATAGCAGTGATAACATCAGCGTTTGGATCTCGATAAAGTTCCGTAATCAGCAAATCGTTATCTTTCATACGCAAAGGGAATTTTTGCATATCGATATAATAAATGGATCCATTGGTGCATCCAAGCAGCAAAAATGACCCGGCTGTGTCATAACATGATATCGCGACGACATCTACGATGAGGGAAGCACTATGATTCCCAAAGGACTTTAAAAAAATATATGAATACGCAAAATTGCGTTACATGTAAATGCATGACTAAAATGAACTTCATGTTTTTTAACCAAAGCATAAAATCATAAGTTTATTACTAATAGTTCCTGATTTCCAGTAAGAACACAAGAACATTTACTGACCTTGGACTTGCCAGTTATGTGTCATTGAATGCCAGATTCCAACCTTGCCAACTTTACTCAGTGCTACCAATTGACTCCCAATAAAGAACAACTTATCAACGGCAACTAAAAGAGTGAACGTTCCTGCAAAGAAATCTCTCGAAAGCTGTATCATAAATATGATAGCGATTAGTATGAAGATTCATAAATTTGTGAATTCCCATTTTCATATTGATTCTCCTCCGATCTTTATGCTTTTAGTAATTTACGCAAAACCAAATACAAAAAAAAAACTAAAAAACGGGCAAAAAATCACCAATTTTGGTTCCAAAATTAGTATCTCCTTCCGAAATATTCCATAAATGTATAACATTATTAGCTAATGAAACAGCCAGCATTTTTTCGCCAAACTTTGCATACAACGCCACATGACGAACAACAGCATCCATACGTGGCGATATATAGAGTTGTTGCCAACCCAAGCTTTCCTTCATTCTATGCGTGAAATTAAGATTTAATGAAAAATTTTTTAAACTATTTTTTAATGATAGTATAAAATAGTTAAAAATTTGAAGCAAAACATATCATCTTACTGATGGTTTCTTTTTTTTAATGCATGCAAAAAACTTTTCATTCTTCAAACGGATAATCAACAATAAGTTTATCCATACCGTTGTAGACAGTGCTAATGGTAAGAAAAGCTGATGGTGCTAAAATAAACAGTTACCTATAACAACACACAAAATTCGCATAACCTACGGCAACCGCATTATAGTGTGCTCGAATCACTCGAACCCGTAGTGGCTCTGATAGCTGGTCAGACATTCGCGCAGAGTAACGCATCAACAATGATAACTCACCTTTCAGCTGAAATTAAGTTGAAAAGATAATTAATAGAAGCATAAAAAAATTACAATTCGATATATTCATATCAGTGTTTCCGAACCAAGTGGTTTAAAAATACTGAGCTGAGTAGCACCGAACTGCAATTTTGTCAACGGAATTAATTGTAGTTTACCATCGATTCATTTATTTTACAGATAAATTTTACACATAAATGACATGACTGATAAGGTTAGGAAATTAAACATTAAAACAGAAATGTTCAGAGTAGAGAAATGGTGAGATGAAGTGTCATGGCATAATGTAAATGGATGTGAGAAGCAGCTGTTAGCAATACATCCCACAAAAGCCAAGCCAATTCAGATCATTACCTGACGGGTCAATTCAAGCGAATTCTTTTTCATGAGGCTTTGATAACTTTTAGAAAGGTTGTTGCAAACACTGTAAGCGTTCTGAAATAATTATACGTTGAAAATCATTTCTTAAATTTACAAAAAGCAATAGTAATTGATTTACTGTTGAAAGGTTTCAAATTTCGTCTTTGCTAATGACATATAATGTAATTTGATGGACAATGAAGAAATTGAACCATAATATTTTATGATCATCATGCATCAAAAAATTGTTGCTCAAAAACTAAACAATCGCTTTGAAGAAAAGGAATTCGAGATATACCACAAAATCTGCGTTGACTGCTTGATGTGCAGCAAAATGCAGTGATGTGTTCCTTGACGTGCTGCTACTGCCTTCTACTGATAAACCTGTTGTTTCCGATTTTTCCATATTCACTGGAAATTATGAATTTAGAAGCTGAAAACGTATTTAAAATGAGAGTATATACACGAGTGAGAGTTTACCTTCACTAGCAAATGAATCATGACTTTCAGCAGATGATGACTGCTCTGCTGGTAAACTTGAGTTGTCTTTTACAGCCTTGCCGACCAGTACCTCCACAGCATGTGGAACCTGAAACATATAAATTTCGGTACATCTCTTCATCTTCGACTTACGAAATATGTATAATATATAACGTTCCTCCAGTTACACCTATCCATAATTAAATTGGGAATGTTCACCTTCCACACCAAACTTCTGTACACTAAAAAAGAATTCAAAAAGAATCACTGATCCAGTCCAACTTATTTACGTTGTGATAACAAGTCTTACGTACAAAACATTGATCTTCACCTGAAATTTAGCTTCCATGCTTGGGAGCAAACGTGGCTGTTGTGATGCTCTGAATGCAGAACTACTTGATACCATTTCAACTGCAGGGATTGCTGTATGTTCATTTAGATTGCGAGAATGAAGAGAAGGGAAGGGAATCGAAATTAAGCCACGTGAACCTGATGATGAATTGGACGAATTCTGGTTGTTTACTGTGGAATTTGGTAATGAAGATGAGTAACCTTAAAAACATGACTTTGCAAAGCAATTTTTGAAACTCAAAGCAATTGATTTAAAATAAAGAATGAATAAATCTTCATTATTCATGCCTTTTATACCTAGAGTATCATTTTGAATTTTCAATAAGAAAAAACGACAACCTTAGAAGCACGACTCTGCTAAACCAGTTTTTGAAACCTAGAGTAATTTGTTTCAATCAATGAACGAATGAATTGTTAAAAGAAAAAAAAACAAATTCAGAATTATCGCTATCAAAACACACCTTCGTTTAACGGTAACGCAGGCGGGGGTAAGTAAGCATTAAAAAGTACATCGCCACAAGCGCATTCGTCTAACTCTTCGCATAAGGTTAGTCGTTTTACTAAAGGTCCCAAGCCGTAGTACTGCGCTTCATGTTTCAAATTCATCAGACTCACTCCGCTAGAAAATACATTACATACAGATAATAATGCAAAGAAATAAATGAGGATGCAGTTGTAAAGATAAATCAAATGCCAAAGAAAAATTACTGCAGAGTGAAAATTTACTTTAAATCAATTTGCTTTGTCCGTAGATAATTTAAAATTATTCGAAACATTTCTGGATCTCGATCAATGAAAACCTGAAATTATTAAGGCAATGAAACATCTGCAATAGCACTTTCCTATGACTAGTACAAATGGAAAGGATGGCAAATAATAAGAGGGAAATTCTCGATCAGAAAATTAAAAGTACAGAGGCAAAGAGGGAGATCATTACAGGTTAAGAATTCATCTGTAACAGCGAAAAAATTTACCGCATTTGTTTCATCATGTACAGTAGGAATTCTTCCACTCAACAAGCTGAAACATTCCACATATGAAAGTTCATTAAATACTCACAAACTTTGCAGTGTAAGCAACTTATGAATGCTGAAGTTAAATCATCACAGTAAACCTCCAACCATTTTGGCTAATAAGGTTTATTCTTAGAACGAAAAATTATCACGAAATTCCTTCAATGATCTTCCAGATACATTTTATAAGTGTCCAAAAGCTTCTATAGTTTCTAAACGTTACAAGTAACCAACCTTGTGAAGAAAGTGTCCGGTATCCATGTCAGAGTTTGTCGCGAAGTCGCAAATCTATGTCCACCAACATTCAAATTAACAATCTGTTCCGTCATTAAAAATAGTGTTCCCGTCCTCAATAATAAAGAAGTGACATCAAATCACCAAATCTTTCGTTATTTACTGATGTTCTATCAGTAACATTAGAAATACGAAAAATGAGCTGCAAAAATATAGCCTATTTCTCTTCGCCAACTTGACAATGAAATCAGGCTTTCCTATTCGGAATACATTAGAAGTAGACTTTTTTTAGAACAGCTGCAAACTGCTCTTTAGAAAAAAAAATAACAAGAAGCTTGTCATTCATTTTTATTAATAGAACAAACAAAGATCCTACATACAATCAGAACAAAGTTACAGAAGTTCCCTTTCTAAATAATAATCTTCATTAGTAGTAGTATTATGGATAACTTTCAACTTATAAAACCTTCATACTTTTTTGCACACGGTGTTTATCCATCAGTGTAAGCAAACAAATATATATATATATATATATATATAGTAGGGAATTTCTGACAATTTAGCATAAAGAGAGACACTGGAAAACTTTTCAAACGAAAATTTTAAATTACATTTACGCAATTAATTTTAGTGAATCATATAATAAACTCTCTCCTTCAACAGACTAGGTTAGTTTGCATGTAACAAAATTAGATAACCTTACCATTTACTTTCTGTAAGTACGCTTGCTAATGCCGTAAAGTTTATTTCAATTGCGAATCAAAACGAAATTTCGGCAATTACCGAAATACAATAACTATTGTAAACTAATGATTCCTAATCTTTTCATTTTTAGTAGAAATGATAAAAATCACAACACTTATATATCTATTTTCCTTTGAAATTCCTTGCTAAAAATAAAAACAGTAAGGGCGCCATAATACTTATTTGTTAATTAATGTTAAAAATGAATAATATTTTTCAAGATGTTCATCTACATTTACATCAAGTTTATTCATAAGAAAATTCCAGAAGTCGCCAAAAAAGCAGGATAGCTGTAAACAGCCGACATATTGATAATACAATATTATCGGAGAAAGGAAGAAAACTTAGGTTCATGCACAAGCTTCTTACATTAAGTTAGTCTTTCTTTCAGGCATTTCTCATACAAGTCGTAATCCTTGTCCAAAAATGTGACGAAAATTATTCTATCAATCTAAAAATTAATCAGCATGCCATCATTATTTTTGTTTGTTTTGGAAAAAAGTATTACTTGTCATATTAAAAGTTTCGCCCAAAATCAGAAATAAATTGGAAAAACTCTTACTTTGTCCCTATTTTCTTTCAACCATGCCAAAACGGAAGTGACAACAACATTACACGCATCATCATTTGGATAACCATACACGCCTGTCGAAATACATGGAAAAGCCTGAAGTCCCTCACTGTGAATGTTACATAAGGTTGCATAAGAGTAAAACCAAGTGAATTGATTTTAAAACACAAGAGTTTCAGGTTTTAAATTGTTTTCTAATAATTCGAAAGGTAAATTACTTACAATAGTCCTCAAATTATTCGCAATGGCAATATTAAGAGATTGAATGTAGCAAGATTTCAACTGATTCCGCTGTTCTTCGGAAACTTTAGAGTGAACTTGGGGTCCTACTGTGTGTATTACATCTGAAAACGAAACCAAACATACAGTAAAAGATTTTACAGAAAGCGAGAAACAGAAATCCATGCTGAAAATATACGTTTGATATGTTTCATATCGTAAGCTCCGGTTATTTTAGCCTCCCCAGTTTTGCAACCATTCAGCTTTTTGCATTCATCATATAAGCGTCGGCCTGCCGCACGGTGAATGGCTCCATCAACACCACCACCTTAAATAAATAACATGAAAGTGGTTGGACTAACTTCCAAACAAAGCTTCTTAATTGAGAACGTAGAGGTGATCGAATTAATTTGGATAATTGTGGGGAAAAAAAACAACATACCACCTAAAAGCGAGCTGTTGGCGGCGTTAACGATGGCATCAATTTCAAACTTAGTGATGTCACCTTTGTCAATGGCAATGAGCATAGCAAGCGGATTGCTTGATTTTGTTAATTCTGCAGCTGTTGTCACCTCGTTCCATTTTTTCACCCCTGCCATTTTTCCTATATTTTTACCAATTTATCAACAAGAATGCTAGTTTGTTTTATATTTAACGTCAGAAAACATCCAAAGGTCAAAATTTTATAATACAACATTACCTGAAGATGCTTAAAGACATTTGGATTTAACCACAGAGACGGCCTAGTCCTCTCAGTTAAATCATGTTAAATCATTACATTATTGTAATCAAATTAAAAAACACTATTCAGATAAGCTTCAACAAGAATAGCTTTAACCTAGCCAGTATTACACAGTTATTTACCAATGAGAATCCTTAGAAAACACGGTATGGAAACTAACCTAGAACTGAAACAGTGCCAAGCCTTCTCACTAATACGCTTTGCATTCTTGCATAAGAACCTGCCTAAAATTGAGGAAAAGCCTATCCTTATACTCCCAAATTATAAAACACAAAAAACGTCTAACAAAAACCTCGCCATAAAACCGTTCTACTCCTTACGGCCGCATCACATTTTTACGAAAGATTTGTTTCTCAGCTAAGTGAGTCCGTTGTGATGGATGGTGGGGTACGAAGTTTGATGGTTCTGTTATTTCAATCTAGTAAAATTAGCTAAGTATTGGTAGCCAAGTTTATTTACTGACATGAAATGACCTTCGTTGGTGATCGTCACGTGATACGAATGAAAAGTTTCTTTAGGTAGCAAAAGGATACCTGTTAGGAAGGATATGATGATAGGAGAAATGAGGTATTACACGTGAGTTTTGCGAGGCAATTATATCCGTTAATTTGAAAAGTGAAAGGAGAATTGGAAGCCCTGAAGTGATAAAGGTAGCAATCATCGTGAAGGATGCTACAGAAAGATTATCAGTAAATAAACAGAAATCCTTCGTGTCATGATAAATGATTGACCCTAAAAAAACCTTGAAAGCGTAAGTATTGCTAGCTTTTCTCTAATCTCCTCCACCTGCTACATACTTTTTTATTCTTGGCAGTATTATAATCTCATGTCTCATTTTTAATGGAAGCCAATCTAAACATAAAAAGAAGAGTGGGAAAGAGTTTAACAATCGATTCTTTTTAATCGATTCTTTTTATAATTTTCATTTGAATTTGATCGAACAGATCAAATTGCGATGCACAAAAATAAATCGTATCTACAATTTTTTTCGTTTTTTCTCTTTAGTGAAGAAATCGATCAGCAGAAATCAATAGAAAGAGCTATCGAAGACAATAAATTTGTCGCCCGAGAAGATTAAGATAGTGAGAATTGTTGGAAGTACGCACTTCACTCTAACGGAGCCCATGAAACTATATTAGAGCGCAGTGTCTTATGCTTTTATTTTTATGCAAATTGTATCAAACGGAATATTGTAAAAAGCAAAATGAGCAAAATAGAAATAGTGATCGGTTAAAATGGTCTAGCAACTCTGGAAGAGTGCTATTTTTCATTTAGCACTTTGTCGATCGGTTCAGGTTATTTCAGTCAGGTGACTAATTTCCATGCAATCTCTTCCTCGTTGTGCAATGAGATTGTCAAGGTTTATTGTGGCCTTCCTGATGCTGCTAGAATTATACTTTGAATAAGCGTGTGATCCTTGCTTTGCTTTCTTCAATTGTACATTTTTTAGAAAAAAAAATAGGTTGAGATTTTTGTAGAAAATTCTAGAAAAATATTGTGGAAACGAAGCTCATATTTCTAAGAATAATCCAAACATCTTTAAATCGAACTTGGCAGTAAATTTTTCCTTTCAAATTATGTCATCTAATTGATACGCTTTTGAAAATTCCTTCGAAAAATCAATTTTGTGAAAATGATACGCTTCAAATGCAACAAACTCAAAAAATATATTTCTGCAAATATGCATTGCAACAACATTCTTTTCTTTTCATTCAATATCTTTTGTATTTTCATTTACCGCCACACTTACAAGTATATTATAAGCCCGTTTACTGTGCTCTATTCTTGCGCTCAATCCATATATCATACCTGATCAACTCTATTCAGCCTTCAGGCTCTCTTGGAACTTCCGACCCTTCATCACATATTCGGATAAATGACTTTGGGTAAAATGGGTTTATTTCGCTTCTTCTATTAATAATAATCCGTTAAGCGAGAAAAAAAAAATGAAAACAAAATTTGCTTACAAATAAATAGTGAATTTCTAGGCTGATCGTAGACAAGTTTAATCCCCGCTATTCTGTGTAAATTAAGTTTCTGAAAGTTTGATTCGTTTATATGCTGGCTTAAGATTGAACAACTGATGACATACAAATTCTTAATTTGTAATATCTTGTTAATGGAAAACAAACAAAAACAAAGATTAAATTGGGAATAGCTAAAAGGATCATCTGATAAAGGCCACGAATAGACAACTGCTTAACTGAATAACTTCAATTATTTAATGCTTTGATATTCCACTTATTTGCGATATTTTTGTAATGCTTCCGAACATTTATCCTCTACGGTTGAAATTTTTATGAAATTGAAGTCTTTTGGAGACATTACTTTCCTCATTGCCACCCTTTGAGTCATATTAAAAAATATTTTAAAGAAGTGAAGAGGGGCAATCAGCAAGGGATTACAATATTTCTTATAAATTTTTGTTTCATAATTCATTTCAACAAATGGAAATCAAAAGAAATGAGTTACTATTCGCATAATTTCACTCAGAAATAATCTGTTAAGCAAAACTAAGTATGAGAAGCAATATAACGATAAAAATCACTATTGGAGTATGCGTCACTGTTGCTACGGGCTTCATCCTACTGTATTACTTCCGAAAGAAAAAGGTTCTTTGTTTCGAACATTATCTTTGTTCAATTTGTTTAAATTACTAATTTGTTAACATATCGAACACTTGCCACTAATTATTTTAAGAGAATAAAATGGTTAAGGTCAATTTGGATATTTCGACGTAGACAGAATTTCAAAGTAAAGATCTTCGACTATCTTTGTTAACTAATAACAATTGACTTGATGCTGACTTCAGAAGCACTTTAGAAATAAAGTAAAAACTTAGGAGATAACCCACCTTTATTAACTGTATAAGCAAAAAAAAAAAATCCTGAGAGAGTGAGAGCTATATCAGTTGAAATGTTTGCTGTTCATTGTTGGAATCATTGAGTCTTCAGGACTACTTGAACCATAAATTCAAAATTGCAATTACAGGAAAGAAATCGTAAAGAGATGAATTTGGAAAAACAAAGAAAATCAGTAGAGCGATCAGTAGCCAAAAACACTGGACGATTTCAAATATCCCAACATATAATACCAGCGAAACATGTCTTGCATGTGTAAGTGAGAGATATATCAGTTGAAATGATGACATTGTGCTTTATGTAGTTGCGCTTGGGTTGGCAAGATTTCTCGAGATCTAATAGGAAAGTTATCCGGATCAGGAAATCAGCATGTTAAGCCATTTGACTGGTTTTGATGAAGTCTTTTAATCATCACTGGCAAATTCTGCTGTTCAAATATCATAGAACTGACAATTCAGAAATAAACGAGAATTTGTATTCATGGCATAACATAAATATTTTTAATCTGTTCCTTCAATTTTTCTTTATGCAGGAAAAAAGCCATTGATTCAACAAAAATAAGACATATCACTTCTAGTGAAATCTCTGGCAACAGTTCAACTAAAGCGGTTCGTTTAATATTAAAAGAAAAAATCATTCTAAAATTTAAAAATTTATTTAGAAAACGATGAGCAAAAATGAGTACTGCCAAATTTTCATGTTCTCATCCTCTCAGCCAGACAATTATATTTAATCCATGTCATCCTTCCTGTTGATTTTCCTATTAATTAGTTATAATGATGATGATTCAATGCATAATTTTGGTAACACGTAGTCTTTTATTTGTATATTAGCTTGTGGGCTTATCCATTTAATTCATAAAAGAGTAAATAAAAGAATTGAAATAACCTTAATTCTTTCGTGACACAAAAAAAGTGTTGGAAAAATCGAATTAATTAAATAAACAAAATAAGAGTATGGGGATAAACTAGAAGAAAAATTAATATAATTATTTTTAAGAATTCTAGCATTATTAGAGTTTGGCTGCGTGTGTATTTAAGTTTTATTAATGTCACTGTTTTTGTTTAAGTGGCAAGATTTTAGATGGCTAATCATCCTGTAGCTTTTTTTTCTTAATTTTTTTTTCTTTTTTTTGAATAGATCATTATCATCCTTTCTTAACAACTGTACTTCTTATTGAGCGGTTTTTAAGGGTATATCGGGCATATCAAACAAAATCAAAGATTATTTGCAATCGTTGGTTTTTTTTTGGTTTTTCTCTTAACACTGCCAATAACAAATTCAATGCTGATATGAAAATTATACCTCTAGTTTATAATCAGATCAACTAACACTCATTAATATTTAGCAGTTATGTCGAAGCACTGGAAGCGAGCACCTCATCAATTTCACCCGTAATTTTAATTTCAACAAATTCCACCAATTTCTTATTTACCTTGATAGATATTGCTGAATGCATTTAAGGTATTGAAATAATTTTTTTGATAATCAGTCTTTAAAATACTAAATTAGCGTAGGAAAAGAGCAGAAGTCAATATTCGAGTGAAAATTATCCACCCGCAATTATCTGGAAGCATAAAGAACTGGTAAGCATTGTCGAAATTTGTCAAAATTTATGTACAAACTATCATTAACGAGTGGTCGATTGAAGTGGTCAAACAGATAAGATGATATAGTAAATGACTAATGTCCATTATACAGTGTTACTGCTGAAAGGGACACTGCATTTAACCTAGATTTGACAGCTAAAGTTTAGGTTTTAAAGTTTGATAACTTTTTAATAGACACGTAGTTTTATGAAGATGATTATAGTGTCCATATGACATTACTTTCAAATTTTCAGCCAAAAGTACTACTGCCATCAGAGAAGTCAAAAGAATTACGGGATAATAAGGTATGATAATATCAACTACTTATAATTTTAACAAGAAATCAAACAATGATGTAATCTATTTTATCATATCTGTCATAATATAGTACTTGATGATGCTATGTCAACGATATGTGAAGAGAATCGAACCATAAGATACTGTCTCCCTTCTCGACCGAAGATTACCGAAGATTCCTTTCATCCCTTATCTTCCTCAACCATTGATCTTCTCTCTGACGAGTGATGAATACGAGTAATATCATGTAGAAAGTTTTTCTTCTTGATAGTATTTTCGAAATTTAATGTCTTGATATGCCTCAAATATGGTTTATTTGTAGATATTAGCATTGAATACAGGAAGATTATCACCTTTGCAGTTGTCTGCAACCAAAAGATATGATAAGATTTTCTTTTTAATTTAAAGAATTAAAATGAATGAAGAGAAACAGTTACAGAAGGATCATTCAAAATTAATTTTTCTGATTATGATTAAGAATTTCTTCGTTCATTACAGGCCAAATCAGGCGAATCTGTAAGTGTTAAAAAACTACTTGTAGCTGAAGAGACTCCTTCGCCGAAAGAAGTTATTCCGGTAAGCTAAGAATTGTAGATTAATAAGTTTCTGACCATGATATTGACCATTTCATTTTGCTTATATATCATGCTTTTGCAAGAGTAATCATGGTTAATTAACGTCGCATTTTGTCATACTATCAAAATTCTCCACTGAATAGTTTGTCTCTTTATTGATATGCACCAGTTTTACTAAGTCTAAATGTAATAATTAGATTGATTCGTACTGTTACTGCGGACAAGATGTGGCGATTTCTCCGGATGCAGCAGGAGAACTGAACGAAAATTGCAAAGTGGAATTGCTGCCAACAATAGTGAAACCAGTTTCATTTGATCCTTATTCACCGGAAGATCTTACTCAAGTAGAAGGTAAATTTGTAATATCATGTTTTTGTCAGATTTAGAAGAGCTCTTTCGTTTTTTATAGCACAGAAAATTCATAATCTATTCATCCGACTCTCCATTTCTTAGGATGGTGAACTTATTCAATTTACAGCTAAACTACCACACCTACATCGCGGAATGAAGTGTTATCTCATAGCCCTTCATTAAGAATCACTTCTTCATACTACAACACGTGAATCCGGAACTGATCAAATAAAAATATTTATAAAGAGAGAAACGGTTGAAATTCATTCTGTTCTCTCAAACATTATAGGTGCAAGCGATGAAATGAGTAAAAATTCGATGAAAATGAGCCTGAAACCAAGGAATCATCACATTATCATACCTTTCTTGCCTATTCTACATGCCATTACCTATGCATCCAAGCACGGTCAACTTCTTCAAGAACTTTTGCAAAATTATGAATATTTTGAATCACAGTTCACTTAAATGAATTGAAATTCAATTCGACGTTATGCATTACATATTTTAGATAAATTATAATTCATCTTTCCACATATAAATATATTGAAAGAATGCCTTAACATTATATACTTCAGCAATTCTTATGAAGATATTATGTAAACTTAAATTTTAAAAACCATTATTATCTTCCCGATATGCGTAAGCACAAACTCAATGAAAATTTCATTACTTGAAAACTTAAAAGTTGCTTCTTCTTTGCACTGCTTTCGATAACTGAAGAAATGAAAAATAAATAGGAATAAATTTAAATTAAGTAACTACAATTAGTTCATCATTATTTCATTCCGTTTACATACAAGTTGATAGCACAATTTTTACAAACATATTTCGTACCAAATCCTTCAAATTCTAACTTTCACTGTTGTTCACTCAAGTGAAGAATTTCTAAGCTTAGCAAATCTGAATTTTATAACAAATTTCCCTTAATAGAAAACAACATGTGGTAACAATCACCGGTACTGTGTTAATATCCTAGCTGTTGACCCTCGTATGTTTTACTGCAGAGGAAATATCTTTTGCAAAGATCAAATAATAATAGTGATAATGAAATACCGTGGCAAATAGGTAATTAATTGGGTCAAGCATGTCTGTGTTAGTATGGAAAGTTTACATCTAACAAAGTAACATACGAAGTTTACGTCAAACAGAGCAACACACTAAATACAAAATTAGCTTTGTCACTTATTTATTCATCCTACTCGATACATTCATTTGTAGGTCGATCAGTGAAAACAAGGAAGGGCATTAAGTCTCAACTTAATCAACTTAATTAGATTACAAAATAGAATCAATAAGTTGCTTCTTACATATCAGGAGCGACTCAGATGGAACAAATGAGAATTCTCATTATTTGTAAACATAACAGTTTTATTGCTATTTCTTTCATAATGTCTTTGAAATGGAATTAATGATTTTCTATTTGATAATTAACGTTATGCGTCCAAGTTTCCACTTATGTTTTACTGTTTGTTCTTCATTATTTTCTACAGCATTGCTTCTATTTTCGACGAACATCTCTTCTGATTTTAATGCTATTTCTAATTGTTTTTTCTCATTTAAAATAAGGGAAATTTTGACAACTGTAAATTTGAATTTTTTTATAGTCTCACTGATAAAGCTTAAAAGCAAAACCAAAAGATGACTGAATTTGTAGATGCTACTGTTGATGTGGCAGTCTTTTGAATACAAAGATAAAATATAATGTAGTTTATGAGAATTTTGTGCTAGCTCCTTCATATTCCACTTATATGCTCTTTGAAATCGTATCAGATGAATGGTAATTTGTTTAAATTCTGCATCACATACTATGACATCTTTGAGCACTAGCGACCAGTAGTGGTCATTTTTTTCAGTCACAATTCAATCCTGCACAGTCCATTTCTGGTTTTTCGATGACCATACTAACCTGAATGCTGTTATCATAATTTTTAAGCTCAGTAGGAGTGAGGTTGCTTATGGAATATTTGTATTGTCACATTCGCCAGATACGTTTTTCATATATATATATTGATATAAAGAGAAAGGAATTCCCGAAAATTAAGGGATAACTTGACAGTTGGCCATAAAGAAAAAAATGTTAGGTTGGTCAAACATAACCTTAGGTTGATTACCAACAGCTAATGTGATAATTCCAATAAGAAACTGTATGATTTGAAGTCATATCACTTATTGATAAGAAGTAAACCCTCGACTGAAACACCTATTAAAAACATGATATTGGTAGGGATTAAAATTTAACTTTACGCAAATCCAAAAGTTATTTTAATTGGATTCAATCAATATCATTAATTGAAATAAATTAATTTCTCAAGCAGCCTCTATATTTCTTCTGCGATTTCATTTTCGAAACATTTTTATTTTTTGATGCATATAAATAAGCCAGATACAATATTCCAATAATGAATTGTCAAGGTTAGAATTCTGCCACTAAAATCCCATTTCATTTCCTCTACCTGTCATTATTCCTTTTTAACTGTCCTTTTTTTTTTTTTTTTGTATGTATTTTCACTCAGTCATGAATAAAGCGAGGACATTTTTGATTCAATGAACTTTATAATTGCAGACCTTAATATCAATGCTAAGCTACGATCCAAAATAAATGATCCGAGAAGTTGTTCTGATATAATGACGAATGCTGAACATTTTCAATCCTTTTCATTTTAATCGTCCGACTTCAAAATATAACTGAAAAGGACTGATATTTTACTTCTGAGAGTAAAGTCCTTTACAAAAAAGTTAAATTAAATCCATTTTGTCTTCATAGTGAGTGTGAACGATGCAAAGTGTCATTTGTCATTTGCAAGAATTGAAATTAGAATCAGCTGTTAGTTAGAGTGACCAGCAAATAAATGGACTGGAACGCAGCGTTTGCACGTTTCATCAGCTGTTTCCACTTAAGATTTTGCACCTAGCTGCTCGGGCTTTAGTGCAAAAACTAAAAGTCAATGAGATATTTTTCCACAGACAAACCAGAGAACAGTATCATCATCCATAAATCAAATGCCATCATCTTCACTTGACACCAATTTCATGATTGCTAAAAACTAATAATATTGCAAATAATTTTTTTATTGTTTCAAAAACATGGTGAACGATGAAAACTGAGGTCATCCGATTCGGATTGACGTGGTCATTTGCCTTGCTGTTCTTGTTGTATAATTTTTGCCTCATTTTCAACACTTCATATTCCCAACTCTGCTCGAAGAATATCGCGATCAAGGCTTTTTTACTTTTGACCTTTTATAATTGAACGGATAAATCTAATCATTGAACTCGAACAATACGTGCTTTTCACATATTTTGTGATCAGAATTTTACATTTTTATTCCAACCTTCAGTTCGAACTTTGAATTGGTCATTTTTACCTATTCATTTCATTTATAGCACATAGAACGAGCCTCTTTTTCCATAATACGAAAACCTACGGTAGTTTTATCCAGGTTGATAATGCATTGAAATTCTTTCTTTTTCAAGTAATGTTGGCGACGGTAACCAAATTTGCATTAATAAGAATAGTGCCAGCGGCGTGATTTTAAAATTAAAGTCTTCACCTATATATCCAACTTCATTGCTTTTTGTTTTAGTCCTTCAGGGTCCAGTATTGTATCTTGCCTGCGACTTTAGCATAGTATAAAAAAAATAAGACTTTGATAAGATTTTCTTTTCATTTTTCAAATTTGATGATATCAGTAATTTGAATGAAAAGTCTCAACGAAAATTTCTGTTGTTATTTTGAAGTTGAGTAATCATCAGTTTGAATTATTTCTGAGGAGAGAAAATTGCCGTAAACTAGCAGAAACTTTCGTTATAGTATTTTCAAATAATAAGGCTAAGTCATTTTCAGAGAGATATTATCGTCTCCAGTTGGCCATTCACTATCTATCTTTTTTTGTATTAAATTATAAAAATCATCTTTCGAAACTCAATCGTTCTTAATGAGGTAAAATTAGGGTGTTAATGTTTAAAGAAGTAATGAATAAAACTAACATTCGTAACTTATATCCGAACTTGGATTTCGCTGCTGCGCTTAATATGACGTTTCCGCCATGTTATGGTCATTGAAAAAAAAAAAAAAAACAAACTATATTTGGAAATAATAATTCTTCACGTTATTCTTTAATGGGAAAGCGATTATTTGGATGTTCTGTTTCTTGCAAATAAATTTTTCCTTGAATAAAAAAGAAGAGTTCTTAATAATGAATAAACAAACGTTGTTAAGCAGGAAAATTTTCAGGAGTTCAACTTCCAAACCTTTGCATAATTAGGAATTCAGGGAAATTAATTACTCTTTTCTTTTCATTGACGAACTGATATCAGATATTATTTCAACAACAAGAACTTTCAAATGATTTGTGATTTGTGCAAAACTTTTTCATTTACGTTGAAGTTTCATTTTTACGTAAATCATTGTAAACTTTGAAAATCTTTCACATTTTGCAGTATGAGGCTAATGCTTACTGATTGCAATATGATTGAAAATGTAAGTATTGCGGAAGCGGTAAGACATTTTTTGATTCTCACTGAAATCGGTGAGTTTTTCATGCATTCTCAAAAATTTTTAAATAAATTATCCAATATTTTGAAATGTTGAATTGCACAAAATTTAAATTAATACAAATTGAAGTGAAGCTAATGGGAGATTTCATCAAAACAGAATTTGGGTCATTCGGTTATAGAAATAAAGAAAACTTTTATCAGATTTGTAAAATTGAAGTTGAAATCACCCTGAATTCTTGTTTAAAGTTTTAAATAAATAATTATTCTATATTTTGGAGTGTTGAATCCAGCTAAATTTAAATGAAGGATAAGCAAAATTTCTATAGATGAAAATGAAAGGGAGTTGAATTACTCTTACACATCATCCGAGTAATTATTGATTTTTTGAAACATCAGTTTATTTCAACCCTTACCTGCTTTCAGTTCGTTTAGCAAACTTTCACTTCAGATAAATTAGTAAATTATTAGTAGCGAGCATAGCTGCTTTCAGAAGAGTTAATATAGTAATTTTCAGCTGAAGGTTATTTACGATAATACTGAAGTATCAGGAAGAAAAGGAAGAGAGCAGGGAGGCATTCGGGCTATTATTTCAGAAATAATATTGGACATCCCTGTCCTTCGTAGCGAGCCAAAATGGCGCTGATGTGGAAATTTTTAAATTAATGCAGCTATTGAAAAAAGAAAAGGACATGAAGGAATTCTTTTTCCCTTTCTTCCTAAACACTGAGAAATCTTACTTTGCCTCTTTTAGTTGTATTTTAAAACAAACTGAAATGCTATTCAATCTTCTCTTTGTACATAAACAAATACTGCAACCTTTCCTCTTCCTATTTCATCATTCGTCACAAAAATAAATTATAAGATAGAAGCACAAATTCAATTTCGTTCAATTTCGTCTAATTCATTCAGTCTAACTGTTTCAATTCAAATTAATCCATATGGTTTACTTGAATTCAATTCAGTTCTTTTCATTTATCACTTCTTCTATTCCAACAATCACAAAGATCAGATTGATTGATCTTCGTTAATTGCAGTTCAAATTACCCAGTATACCTGAGCTTACTAAAAATACATGACAATTACCATGATGTAATAGGATCTGAAACCAATCTTATTTAAGCATCAAAATTCTACATCTATTACTTGCCTGAATAAGGAAAATGAATTTTTGAGGAGTTAGTTATATCCATCTTATTTGTGCATAGAGAAGTATGTAAATATATAAGGATATAAATTTGGATCTGAATGTTTGCGTCTACTTTTAGCAGCCTAATAATGTATGTGTCTTTCGTGTCCGCTTCTTTTCAACATATGTTAAAAGCCAATCTTTGCTCCATAATTATCAATATATATCAAGTTTGATCTCTCCATACTCTCCTAGCCTACAAACATAATCAATTCTTTTTCTTTTCGTTTGTTTCATTATTCTGATAAATTTAATTTTCAAGCTTAATCTTGGAAGAAGACCAATCTGCTTCTCTATTGATTTTCCAGATGATAAACAGTTTTCTTAACTTTTAATATTCATTTATTAAGACTTGTGATTAGTCTCAAGCATAATATTACATAATAAAAGATATCGCTATGATGTGCAACATATACATTTGGCAGAGCTATCTAATTACTTTCTACTTTTCATTAATTCATACCTTATGTTATTATGTACATCTTATGCATTTTAAATTTCACGAAAAATAAATTTGCATGATAAAGTAGAAACCTAAATGGATAGTAAACCTGCAGTTTTTGTTGTTGGCTATCTAGGTATGCAAATTAAACGAATCTGATTACTCCAACTTTATCTGAATTCAAATATTCATAATCTATTTCTGTCTATATTGTTACTATTCTGTTAGTGAATGATTAATTTGGAGATACTCGTAGCACAAGACGACCGTTAAAAATGGTACTAAGGAAAAACATCAATTAATTTCCTTTGTCCCCAGTTCTTTTCTCTATTTTCCGTTTGAAGAGGTTATTTTCAACAGAGAGGTTGAAGACCTCATTCCATTACCGTACAACAGAGAGGTTGAAGACCTCAGAGGTTGAAGACCTACATGTCTTCATAATATATTTTCTGAGACATTTTCCTAATTGTCTCATCCAGCTGTTGCACATAATTTATTGATGTTATTCATAACGATTGATCCGGCAGCAATCAGCTTGTCTTAGGCCTTTGCCTTGAATGCACAAACTTGAAAATTAATTTGTAATTTGACTGCTGCCTACTCCTGATGAAATGACGCCACATCAGGCAATTCTTAAAAACAAGCTAATAATAGGGCTTACTTCTTAACTATTCCTAGATCCTCTCATATACTATACCATAAGACATTCCATTTCCGCTCTTCAGATCACATGCAGCTAATGGATGGAATAGGTCCCACTTATCATAAATTCACTTATATGCGTTGTCGATTTCATTACTTACTGCACTATCAATTGAAATTTACAGAATAAGAGTGCTTCATTCACAGCTCTCTGAATTCTGTTTGTTGCTTTAATTTTTTCAATGAACTCATCACTCCACTACATCAGTCACAATTAACCATCAATGGTAATTAGCAAATTTCCGTCGGGCTAGATCGTTCGCATCTTACGATTGGGTAAAAGCTATCTTCTTAATAAATCGATAAATGAAGAAGTGTTTTTCGATCATCCTCCATCTATCTATCAATAGTTATTTTTGCAGATGTCGGATGTAGATTTGCAAGAACGATTGGCACGACATCGTGGTTTCGCAATCAAAGCTCGTGAAGTGCTGTTAGAACCACCAGCCCCATTTGCAGTTGTGAGCGTAAGTTTCTTGTATTTAATCAGAATTTTGTGCAAACATTTAACTAATATCGTACCTAATTTAAACGATCTCGCTATTTCTTTATCGTTGAGACTTTTATTTTGATTAAAAGATTTGATTGAATTCAATTCAAAAATTTTTTTTCAGAAAATATTATTCTATAACCTGAAGAGGTCCATTTTCAACCTAAAATGCAAACTTAGCTTATACAATATTAATGAATATACTAGCTTATTATAATACATCGAAAAACATTAAAATATAGAAATATTGACCAATGAAATCTTTAAATACATTGGCTTGATATGATGGTGATGAATTTCTTCCCTTATATGTCTTTTCCTTCACCATTTTCTTTTTGAAAAATGCAGAATGAATCACAGGAAACTTTTGTATTTTACAAAATGCGATGAATCGACTTCCCTGAAATTTCAGGACTCATTTTGTTATTGTGAAATGTTCCCGCCTGCTGAATAATTTCACTAATTGCTATTTCTTTTCATCTTTCTTTATTTACGCCTACTTTTTATTCAGTTACTTCTTCTCTCACATTTTCGAAGATTCATTGTGAGATTGATGTATTGATTACTATCAAATTATATCAGGACAGAAACTCTTACTTTCAGCTTATCTATACATCCTTTCTTTTCAGGAAAGCACTGGAAGTTTATCGAATGAATCCAGTGGTCCAAAGTCACCTCATCGTGGATTTACAGCAAAAGCACGTGAAATGCTTGTGGAAAGGCAAGCACATGATAGTCATCATGGCTCAAAATGTAAGTTTGGAGATTTCGTTTCTGAGGACAGATTTTTTTTGTGCTGGAGAAATTACAAATATAAAACAAGTGTAAAGGCTAATTTATATATTTCTCAAGTTTTCAAATTTTTTCAATTCCTTAGCATATGACGGATTACTAGCTTATATGAATAATCTAAATGAAATTTTATATTCTTTAGTTTTAAATGCATTTAGTCTTCATAAAATGTTGAAAAATATGCACTGCATCTTGTGAAAACTTTAGCTTTCCGTGAAGCAATACGAGCAGATTTCGATATATGTCACAAGCAACAATCATATTCAAAACATGCGACTTTGAATGAACCGCCTGCGCAACAAGCAAACATCGATGCCTTTATGCGTAATTTTTTGGTTATTTATCCTTGTTTTAGCCGAGGAATGCATTTTATTTAGAATTTGATGACATGCGTTGCATTTTAGCTGTTCACCTGTTCTTTACTTCGTTTTCTAAAATTCCCAGATCTTTCATCACTGTCATTATCGTCACCACCATCATCATCATCAATGAAATTTGTATTTAACTCAAGTATTAGATTCATGATGCAAGATTACCAATGATTTTAATTTCAACTTAGTGAATAGATAGGTTTTTCAAAACCAAAATAAGAAAATGTTGATGATGGAAAGGTGTGCTATACATGGATATACGAACTAGTTTTTGCTGAGAGAGAAGTGATAAGTTTTGATGTATTGTTGCAATTAATTCCATTTCCAATATTTTCACATCAAATTCCACTTCTTCGAAGAATTAGACGAATGATGGACAAACTAAGAGATGAATACATAACTATTATGCTTTACAACATCAAATATTCCTTTCTCTCTTGGATCTTGCAATTATGAATATAAAATGGGAATTTTATTTCGCATCCTAAAGTCAGTTTCCAAAAACTTCTACGTATGACTTTAACTTGACAAAGATTCTGTCCTGCAGAAAGTAATGATAGGACATTTTCAAGACAAATCTAAAGAATAAAATTGCTTATACTGATGATAGGCACAATAATCGGCCAAAATCAGCAAGTTGGTTCTTAGTCATTCCTAACCTTAGTAATATCTCATATGTACATCTTTTACTTTTGCATATTTTATGCAGACATCAAGAAGGTTTGTTTTGACAGTTATATTTACGCTAACTGTTTCACCTTCATCTCTAATGAATTTCCAGAAATTTAGCCCTTAAGTTTAACCCATCATATTTCCTCTAGCAGAGGGTTTTGATATACTGAAACTAACGAAATTCCTTTTTGTTTGTAGTTTCAGATTTGCATAGTCAATTATGTATCCTAACATGTACTTGCCATGTTTACCCGCAACATACTATTCTTGATTTCCCGCGGAGCAAAACAAACTTTCAAAATTATGCTTAAATGTGAAAGAGATATATTATAGGTAACGGAAAGAAGGAGATTTTGATTCCACACTCTAAGTTATCAAGAATAAAAGCTCATAAATTGCTCGGTGAAATTGGGAAAACACGATCAGCTAACGAAATTTTCTACGATAAATGTATGAAACGAGTACGAAATCCATTATTACGTTATGATTTGCAGGTTGTAAGGTATATATGCTTCTCACAAGAAATTTTACTTTACTTTGACAAGAATGGAAAGGGAAAGTGATAAAATGATGATATTGAATTACCTAAAATTCAAGTAAATGAAATTTAGGGAATAGAAGGGAAGGGATAAATAGATCTACAGTTTTAACTTCGGTTACAAAGTCAGCAAAAGCAAAAGTGTGACAAATTCCAACATCAAGAATTTTCAGTCCGTCGCATGGAAGCCTCTCAACGAAATGTTCAGATCCACCACGGTTAGTAATCGTATTTTTGAAACTTGTTTTAAAAATTGCTCCCGAATTATATTCTAATCTATTCCTTGTGGCAGTGTCAAATGATGAGTTATTGGTAACACTACTAATAAATGTCCATGTAACAATATCAGAATTCATATTTGGACAAAAACGACATCGGGATCTATATGCTGATAAAAACATTGCTGATAAAAACATAATCTCTGTAATTATTCAGAAAGAAAATTTAGGTGAATTTCAATAAATTTTCATATTAAGAGATTAAGGTTCCATATGATTTTTAAACTGAGAATCGAAGTACGGTGTGAATTTTGGTACGAACTTTTTCCAGAAGCAATGCTTCTGAAGAAATTAAAATGATGAGCTGTGTGACTTTTGAAAAGCTTCAAACAGATGTCAAGGACAAAGAAGAAAATACCGAATGTCCGAAGTAAAAAACCAGTAATGATGGTACACAGCTGTTCGAATTTTGGCCAAATGTACATCCCGGAGTTTGAAAATTACTTTGCTTACTTTCAATCATGTGTCTGGTAATTTCGAAATCCAGTTATTTTGTATGAACTTAAATTTTGATAGGCAAAGGCTATTACCCTTAATTCAGTTTCCTCCTGTAAAACAGTAATAATCCCATAGAAACCTTATTAACATTTCTAGTAATTTTCGAATTAGAATAAGTCTAATATAACCTTAATAAAGCTGTTTCTGAAAGAATTTGATGAGAGTTGTTAATTACCGAAAGTTAGGCTGCTATCGGAAAAAACCGAAATATTTTTGCCGAAATAATCAAAATATTTTAGTAGTGTAAATATTTCGATGTAGATTTGTAACAGTATGAATATAATCTGTAAATGTTGTTTTAATTTGAATATTTCTTGACAAGTGGGAATAATAAATCATTTGTCTAATCTTAAATCTCTTAAACTGATAGTCAGATTCATTTGCATTGTTTAAATTTTATATATCTACCATCGGTTTATCAATCTATTTTAACTTCTTCTTTTCTTTTTTAGCTTTTGTCCCGCTCTAGTGCAGAGTCTGCTTTTCTGATTCGTTGGTATCCTTTTGCTCGATCATGCGCTTGATCGGGATATACGCCAGCAGCTTTGATATCATTGTGAAGCGTATCAAACTCTGATCTGATGGGCCGCAATTTTTGTACGATATGACATTGGTCATCCAAAGCTGGCCTAAGCTGGCCTGTCCCGGAAAGGCTTATCGTCAGACAGGAACACAACCGGTCAGTAAAGTATAGAAATAAACTGCAATGTCT